CTGATTTTGTCTATTGGCTTCAGGTTAGAACTGTTTTTATTGATTCTCTACCACCATCATGGGATGAGGATCGTGTTCAAGAACTTCTTAAGAAATATGGAGAGATTGAAAAGATTGAACTTGCCCGGAATATGCCATCTGCTGACAGGAAGGATTATGGTTTTGTCACATTTGATACCCATGATGCTGCGGTGAATTGTGCAAAGAGCATTAACAACACAGAGTTAGGTGAAGGAGACAAGAAGGTCTGTCAAGGTTCTTTGTGGCCAATGGTGTTCTATGGGTTGCCTGTCTCCTTGTTTATTGATAGTGTCTTCGTCTTATTTCAGGCTAAAGTAAGAGCCAGATTATCAAGACCACATCAGAGAGGCAGGGGTAAGCACATAGGTCGAGACAATCTTAGGTCTGGCCGTGGGTCTGGCCGACTTGTCAGGGGGTCTTGGGGCCATTCAGCTTCCCGTGCCTACCCTTCTCGAGGGGTAAGAGGAATTGGTAGTCATCTCCCACCTCCCATCCCAAAGAGGCCTGTTGGATTGAGAGACAGTGGAACAAGAGGCAGACGCCCTATTATGTCTGTGCCTACAAGAGGCCGGCCTTTGGCTCCTCCACCCAGGTCCTATGACAGAAGAGCACCTGGTAAGCTGCATTGTCTATTGCATTTGAATTTTCCTTGGAATAGTTCTTTGGATGATTTTAAATGCTGACTCCATATTTTGGCAGTTCCGTCATATTCAAAGAGTAGCTTGAATAGGGACTATGGTCAACGTGATGAGCTTCCCCCTCCAAGGAGCAGAGCTGCTATGGATTATGGTCCCCGGGTCATCCCAGAGAGGCATCCATCATATAGAGATGAGTATTCATCACGAAGCTCTGCCTATTCTGATTTGCCTAGAACTACTTCTCGTACTGCAGCAAGGAGACCATATGTAGATGATGGCTATGGTCAGAGGTTTGAAAGGCCACCTCCAACTTACCGTGAAGGCCGTGACCGTGATTATGACTCAATTTCTGGATCAAAGAGGCCTTATTCTGCCATGGTTAGTATTACAGGAGTACTGGTTGATTAATTAGGTGATTTTGTCTATTTGTTTATTTTATTTGCTTGTACAATTTCAGGATGATATTCCTTCACGTTATCCTGATATGAGTGTCCGCCAGTCAAGAGCTCGGTTGGACTATGAACTCGCTGGTCCTCCACCTCAATATGGAGATGCTTACGGTGATAGGTTCGTCATTTCTTATTCCTTTGAAACAGAGGCAGTTTAGCATTTTCTTTTTTTTCTTCTCTTCTTCACAGAATTGTATTTATCTTCTGTCTTATTTTTGGTAGACTTGCAAGACCTGCTCTAGGATATGGTGGCAGCAGAAGTTCTATGTCCAGTCAGGACTCACATGGATTTTATGGTGGTCGTCAGGGCATGAGTTATGGTGGAAGTGAGTTTTTAAGTTGCAGACATAATATGCATAACTAGAGGGGGAAAAAAAGAAGAAGAAGAAGAAGAAGGGAAATTGGTACTTTTTATCTTTGGTGTTGCCTGGCTTTATGACCACTGATTTCCACCAATTTTTTATGGTTTTTAGGTTCTTTTGCTGGAGGTGATGTTGGAAGGATGTACCCTTCCTCTGGCTATGGTGGCGATTACGTACCTAGGGGATCTGATGTGTGAAAAAAATTCTCTCTTTTTCTTTGCCCTCCCTCCCTCCCCTTTGTAGTTCTAAAATTCCGGTGTTGTATCTACTGCCTTTGTTCTTCTGTGCAGGTTGGTGGTAGTTCTTACTCATCCTTGTATTCAAGTCGAAGTATGGGCGGAAACAGTTACATGGGTGGCAGTTCTGGGTCGTACTATTGATGATGTAAGTGAAACTTTATATGCCTTTTCCAGTTTCTCTAAGCAATTGTGCAAGTAGATTAATTTTTAGTCAGTGTATTTTAATTGGAGATTACGGGCTTCTTGAAGAAGTTGGCAACTTGTTCTTCTGAGAAGTGTATTGACAAGGACATACCCCTATCATCACAAGTGAATTTGTCTATGGAACAGATTTGACAGACAAAGAGGCTGGTTTAGGATGTCAACTGTATGGAGCTTTTGCATTGTATTGGATAGAAGTGTGTTTCAAGGTGCCATAGCCTCTATTCATGTTGAGAAAAAAATTTAAGATTAGAGTTTTTTGAAAAGAGAGCTCTGGAGGTTCATACTTCAAGGAAACTATTAAGTTAAGGATGAAGCCAAAGTGCTTAGCACCTGCACTTTATGACAATCGTCATTTTTTTATCTTTATGTACAAACCGGATGATGGATAATTTGGAAGCATTTTGCATCCTATATTCACTGGACAAGCTCTAGATGAGAGATTAAGGTTCTAATTTATGTTGTAAGGAATACTGGGTCCTCTTCTATGTTGAATTCATAAGGTAAGGTTTGATTGAGAAACCAAGGGCATTCACATGACTTGTATAAGTATGATAAGCTTGGGAGTTGTACAAGTACCCAAGGGAAAGGCTACAAGAAACAAAGAAGCAATTTCTGCCATGGTATATTGCGTTAATTGATTAAGGAGCTGTGTTAAAGCCCACAGGTAATCAATTGGCATTCTTGACCATTGGTTGTGAAGCATTTATGCTGTAGAAATATGATTGCCATATTTTCCCTTGAGTTGGCAAATATCAGAATAAGATGCTGTGAAGTGCTAAAACTTAGGAAGAATACATGGCATTGTTAAGACATGTCTTTTTCATTTTTGGTTTCTGTTGTGTTTCAATGAGCAGATATTTAAACTAAGAAAAACACTTAATATTCAGTTCTTATGACCAATTCTTTGGTTTGCATGCTTGGCATGAGTGGTCAGCCTCAGGTCCCAGTATCTTGAGTTGGATTTTCTTGGTTCTTTGGAAGTTTTTTCACTCTGGGAAGCTGTAATTTATTTTTATAAACTAAGAGAGTTTGGACATAGAAAAGCTGAGTTCTAGATTCTCATTGGTTGGGAAATTGCCAAAGTTACGGGGTAGATTGGTGATAGGTAGATTATAGATTTTCCCAGGAAATATACAGAGCAATACCTTTAGGGGAACTGTTTATCTTTGGAAAGAGTCAACCCGTGCTAACTACCGTGTTGAACAACAAGTGAGCAATTCTATTGAGAAGTACATATTTGATTAGTGGATTTGTGAACCAGGTATTGTATTGTGCTGTGGGACTGAAGCTTGCATGCATAGAATATAGTCCTTGCAAGAAAGTTTATATGGTGAATGAGTGATTGTTCTTCACGGTATTTTAGCCACAAAAGGACTCTGGACATTAAGAATTCACCAATTGAAACAAAAAAATGTAGCATATTTAAGTGTGCATTCTGCTTGTGATGGTTGCTTATGGTAGTGGTGGGGAAAATGCAACCATTAATGTTGATTATTGTTCGGGTTGGAATGATATTCAAGTTCCTTAACATTGATCTCATGCTTTGTATGCTAGCATGCTGCTGTAGGTTTTAGGTGGTTTAGCAGGGAGTAGGAAGGGACTACTTGCTTTTATAACCATATTTCGTTTCTTATGAAACGATTTGTGCACCAGCATCTGTGTATTTGTAGCCTTTTCTTTCTTGGCTGTATTTGTAGCGTTACCAACCAAATAATTGCTACGTTTGTGCTGTGCTAATTGCCGAATGTAATATGAAAAGAAAACTATTAGTCATGGATTTTTTGCATTGTATTTCTTTTATGGAAACTCCACTAACGTGTAAACAACGTCTCTTGCATTGCGTGATCAAATCAAAGCAGAATGTAGGGTTTATCAACGGATTGGAAGTTCTAAGTTTCCTTGTGGTAATTGGAAATATATATGCAATGTCCCACCAAGATTCTATACCTAGAAAATACCCTTTTTTTTGTCTTTATCTTTTTTCTTGTTTCAACAGTGGAATTACTAAAACAAATGGTGTAACCTAAATATTGGCTAAACTAGTGAAGTTGTTGAGATTAGGAATGGCAATGGGCCTATCAGGAGGGAATCTCTCCCCGTCCCTGGGAATGGTAGGATGGGGATCTCCATGGGGATTCCTTATGGGGGTTGATTTTGCTCCATCCGCATTCCATCTCTGTTCTTCGTCAATTAATATTAAAATATAAATTTTTTACATATAATTAATTAATATTTAATTATAATAAATTAATTTTT